GGCGCGCCGAGCGGCGGGCGGGCGGACGCGCGCGCTCCCGCGGCGCCCCCTGCTCGCCCTGCGCGGCCGCGGCGGAGGGGAGCGCGCGCTCGCAGCGAGCGGGGAGGACACCGGCTCCGCGCTTCTCTCCTCAGCCGACTGCCTCGAGCAGCATAAATGTAGAAAAGAGCTGGCTGGCAACAAAGGCAACTTTTTTTTTGTCTCCTTTTCTTTTCCTCCCCCCCCTCTTCTTTCTCCTCCTTCTCTGCAGAGCGCCTCAATCACTTGGCTGGACACTAGCTAGTTTTCTCGTTTTCTTTTTCTTTTTTTTCTTTCTTTCTTTTTTTTTTTTGTTTGGATATGGAGCAAAAAAGAAAAGTTATAAAATCTCTCGTAAAAAAATGAAAAAGTTTTCAAAAAAAAAGTCAAAAAAAGCCAAGCCAAGACGGTCTCAAGAAAATTTGGTCCAAAAAAAAAAAGCTTAAGAAAAGGAGAAAGTAAAGGGGGGAGAAAAAAAGAAAAAAATAGGGGAGGAAAAAATAAATTAAGAAATAAAAAAGTAAGGTTCCCTTGGTTCCCTTCTTTTTATTCTCTTTGTTGCCTGCTATTCGCTTCTACTGCCCGTAACTCTTTGCTCCCATCTGTTCGCTCATGCCGCCGCGCTCCCCGCCTATATAGCGCCCCTGCTCCGGACACGCCCCGGACTCTGAATGCGGCACAAGCGGGCGCTGCGGGAGCATCCAGCTCTCGCCCCGGGAAGAGCTCTGGGAAGGGGAGGGAGCAGCGCGGGATCGGGGCGGGGAGGAGGTCGGGGGAGTGGGACAGCCCATTGCGGCGGTCACGGGCGCTTCTTGGAAACGGGCGCGGAGGGGATGCGCTGGGGCCGCCTCGTCATGTGCCTTTTGTGTCGTGAGGGGGAAAAATTAGGGGAGAGGGAAAGAGGAAATAATGCGCGCTTTGGGATTCCCCGCCCTCCTGCCTTGGCACCGTGAGTGGGGACGGAGCGAAGCCTGCGGAGAGTGCCCTTTTTTGGACGCGAGGCCGCGAGGCCGTGCTCCTTGGGGAGGCGCGCCCGCGCGCGTACCCGCGCAACTTCAGCGCCGCACGTCCGCGGGGATGGGCGTAGCAAAACCCCGCGACCCCCCCTGCACAGCAGGTGTGAGCCCCGGGTCTTGTGTCCCGCATTATTATTAACATTATTATTTTGCAGTTTCCACAAATTCTGCACCCGTCCACGTCCCCCGCCCCCAAACCTCCCCCCCTTTCCCATTACTAGTCAAGAAAATCTGCACTGGCAAAGACAAAAATTGTACCTGTCGTTGTTGCAGCCCTTGTGCGAGCTGGTGCTGAAGGGGATGGTAAGGTGCTCTGTGTACACGCTGCAGTCTTGCAGCCTGGCCCTCATGGAGAAGTCAGCCTGGGCTGCTCACAGGTGTTGGCTTGTGCAGCCGTTTCCTGCTGTGAGGATGACACAAGCCAGGTAACTGCTCTGTTTTCTCAACCCCTGCATCATTAGCACTGAAGTTCACCTTCCTGTAATTTATCAGATGTTCATGTGTCTAAATTCATATGGAAGAGCAAAGTACGTACCTTCTCATTCCATGTACCTCCGCATCCACCAGAATGTATACATCAAAAACTGCACTTTTTACAAATGAGACTTTTTTAGATAACTAAAACTGACTCTTTGGCTTGGCTTCCCTGTTCTTCATTCTGTAATGATACTTTTCAGACACTGTCTTGAAAAAGATTTGATAAATAACAGGATATCTATAAATACATATTTTAGAAAAGCTAATATGCTACATGAAGGATATGCTTAAAGGATAAAAAGACAATTTGTCCTGGGAAATGAAGTTAAAGATCTGCTAAGAGAGAAATCAGCCTCACTTAATACCCTCACGGGCTATTGCATCTATGATTTTCAATCTTCTTTTGTCTTCTTGCTCATTTTGTTAATCGACCAAAAGAGGTCGCAGGTTGTCCAGGATTGAAGCAGAGCCTTGCAAATTCTACAAAGAGGGGAATGATCAAGCACTCTGCACAAAGTGTGTGCTGTTTGGAGACTATTACAGGAAAGCTTGTTGTTGCCTTTTCATTTATTTTTTATTATTATTACAGGTGATGGTATGAAACTGGGAGGAGTAGCTGATACCTCAGAGGGCTGTGCCACCATCTAGAGGTACCTGGACAGACCGGACACCTGGGCAGTTAGAAAACTCATGAAGTTCAACAAGGGCAAGTGCAAAGTCCTACACCTGGGGAGGAACAACCCCAGACACCAGTACAGGCTGGGGACTGACCTTCTGGAGAGCAGCTCTGTAGAGAGGGAATCATGGGCATCGTGGTGGCCGACAAGTTGACCACGAGGCAGCAGCGTGCCTTCGTGGCCAAGAAGGGATCTTGGGGTGCATTAAGAGCATCTCCAGCAGGTCTAGAGAGGTGATCACCCCCCTCTATGCAATCCTGGTGAGGCCCCATGAGGAGAACTGTGTCTAGTTGTAGGATCCCCAGGATGAGGGATGTGAAGCTGCTGGAGAGAGTCCAGCGCAGGGCTACAGGGGCCCTGGGGCCTGGGGCTACAGGGGTTCCAGGGGCCTGGAACATCTGCCCTATGAGCAAAGGCTGAGAGAGCTGAGCCTATTCAGCCTGGAGAAGAGAAGCCTGAGACAGATCTGGTAAGTGTATACAAGTATCTCGAGGGAGTGAGGAGGATGGGGCCGGCCTCTTTTCAGTGGTGGCCACTGATAGAAGTAAATGGCCACAAACTGAAGCACCAAAAGTTCCACAGGAACTTAAGGCAAAGTTTCTTGACAGTGAGGGTGACAAAGCCCTGGAACAGGTTACCAAGAGAGGTTGTGGAGTCTCCTTCTCTGGAGATCTTCACAACCAGCGTGGACTCAATCCTGTGCCATATGCTCTAGGTGACCCTGCATGTGCAGGGGGGTTGGACTAGATCTCTAAAGGTCCCTTCCAGCCTTAAGGATTCTACGATTCTGTGAAGCCAGAAAAACTTGGAGATCGTCTTCTAGTGTGCATCAGGAGCACTCGAATTAATTCCAAAAGAAAGAAGAAACTTTCATTCTTTTTGCTCCAGCAGAAAAATGGCAGGGTAGCACTGTATACTAGCTGGGCATATGCAGGGATCATCTTCAGTCAGGGAGAGCTTTGAGAGCATCCTGGCTTCAAAACTGAGACAGTAATGCAGAGGAAACAGTGAGAGGGGTGAGGAGATTTGAGGACAGAAGGGATGAAAGAAAGAATAGTTCTGCTCCACCACTCCAGTTATAAACTTCAATTATTGACAGACTAACGCTAGGATAACTGGTATTTCAAACTGCACCATTGACATTTCTATCAACCTGAAATTTAAATCCCACCACTACAAAAGATATTTTTTTCCTATTAAAACATTTCAAAAAATTTATAGTTCATCAAATATAAGTGGTTCATCTATTTTTTAAAAACACAATTTTGTTTAAGTTAGCTTATATTTATTAAGTATCATAAACCTAGGCTAATACAATGTCAACATATTACTCTGAACAGCAACAACAAAAAACACTAAAAAATGGAAAAGGCACCTTGAATAACACCAAATATGCAGTGGCTCACCTTCACAGTAAACATGTAGAAGGCCAATAATGCACCAAAGATCAATTTGCCCTAATGTCTTCTGCTAAACAATTACATGTTTGGGCATTCCATTGCAATATATTTATTTTAATTGAGGTAAAAAAAAAAGGGTTCAATAGCTCAAAGCTATTGGCAAGCCAATATGTCTGGAAAGTCATGTCTGTGCAGAGTTTGGATGAACAAGTACTTCTAGCAACAGCCTCTACCAACAGTCACTATCTGATTTGGGTTCTAAATTGACACCTTCTTTTGAATCAAATACATGCTAACAGTGTATATATATTTCCTTAACTGATTTTAGTATGGAAGCTGAAATATACTGCCCAAGTGTAAGGCACTTATATATGACTGTGTATAGACTAAGACTTTTATAAGTTTGTTATATTAGACCAAACTTTACCCCTAAGTCAGTGGAACCCTTCTGAATGGACAAGGTCAAGAGCTAAACATGCAAGTGGCAATATTTATCAAACTGTACCAAAACTAAACTTCCAAATTTACATTTACTGTCAAGTCCAGGGGCTCTGCATTTCTTTTCTGTTTGTTAAGTTTTCCTGGAAGAAGAGGGAGAAGCATCACAAGTCACGTAGGGTGACCTTTACATTCAGTGCATGACAATGGACAGCATAAAGGGAACAGCAGCAAGGAGCTGTGCTTCAGGGAATCCTTCTTCCTCTGCTTGTTGCTCTAGGGAGAGAAAACGGCATTTATAGAAGTAACAAAAGGATGTGTTTTATTTCCTCTTCCACTCCATCCCTCCCCCTATCAGCACATCCAGCCGTCTCTCTTCTCTGACGCATTGGCTGGACTTGTACGTGTTGTGTACTTGTTTACTGCATGTGCTCACTGCAGGAGCAATACATGGGAACTTGTAGAGTATTTGAAGTAGCTCTGCTTTCCATTGCCTGGCCACAGGGCATTGTGGAGATAACTTTTAGGATGGTCCCATTCTATGGCATTCAGTTATGCTGCACAAAATGCCATCCTCAAGAACGTGGGCCTTCCTGTATAATGCTATGTTAAAAGTTGTGTAATTTGCAACTTTTTCAGGCCAGAAAAAAATATTTGAAATCTAGAGGTATACAGCTCATTTTGATTTGAAGGATAAATACATCTGCAAAACACCATTT